CCCCAAAACCCCAAAACCCCGCTATAGTTATTGCAGTAGTATTAATGATGAATTAAAAATCATATGCTTAGAGCGAATTCAAATTAATATTATTAAAAACATTTTAACTTCGCATGGATAGAAATCCCACAAAAGAAGAGCTCAATCAGCCACTTCTGACATAAGGATATGACACTGATAACGAAAGGCATCCACCTCTAGAAAAAAGGGAATCGAAAGACGATGAGGACCTAAGCTTTTGGAAGGTCATGCGCCAGATCACTGATTTGTCTATCTACCCGATAGTAGGGATGCTGTTTCATCCAGCATACCATCTTGTTAATACTGTGATTCTGGGTTAAGATGATGATGCCGTCAATAGCTTAGCAACCTTTGGTCTTGCTACAGTAACAATTGGTATTTCATTAATGTCAGTTCAAATATCATTCAACAATTCACTCACCACTCTTATATCGTAAGCACATGGGCAGAAAGAGTCGAGACTATGTAGTATATATTTGAACAGATAATTGATCCTTAACTTCATAGTCTTTATACCAATTTGCTTATTGCTTTTGTTTGTTGAGTACTTTTTCCTAGGTATTGGCCAGCAAGCTGAGGTAGCTAGTCGAGCCTCGTTTTTTATTAAAGTGCTTTTGCCCGGATTTTTCTGCTACGGTATTTTCCACACTTACTCTAAATATTTAGCAGGCTAGAAGGAAGTAAGGTTTGGTATGTTTGCAAATATTTTTGCTTTCATTCTGCATCTTCCAATTAGCTATATTTTTGGGGTTTATTTTAAAATGGGGCTTGAAGGAGTAGCCTATGCTACGAGCATTCATATGATGATGAGACTACTAATAATAAGCATTTTCATAAAATTTTCGCGATTCAATAGTCACTTAGTTCCTTTAACAGACGAGGAATCTTTCAGAAATCTCTGGCCTTAGATGAAAATGAGTTTATACTCATGTGGCATGATTATCTGGGGATGGTGGGCTTTCGATGTATTTACTTTCATTGGTACCTTTATGTCTCTCGAAGTAATGGCTGCATAGACAGTATGCAGAAATATAGTTTTAATTTTCTATATGATTCCAGTTGGATTATCTTAGGCCTCATCAGTAATGGTGGGCAATATGATTGGTAAAAAGAATATTTAGGGTGCTAGAGTTTATGGGTAAATGTGCTCACTAACTTCATTTGCCTGGGGATGTGCTAGTGTTTTAGTCATGGCAATTTTCGGAGAATAGATAGTAAGACTATTTAGTTCATCAGAAAGTGTTAGAAATCTAGTAACTGAGGCATTCTTAATGATTTGGCTTTATATACTATTCGATTGTCTTCAATGCATTGGTGCCGGTATCATTAGTGGACTTGGAAGATAAGGCAAGGGATCAATATTGACTGTATTTGGGTTCTGGGCATTAGGCATTCCCCTAGCATTAGTTTAGACATTCTACTACAACATGGGTATAATTGCTCTATGGTTAGGTCCATTAGTTGCTATAACATTCAACTCATTTGCATACTATGCTTTTATCCTTAAGATCGATTTGAAAGAAATTGTAAGAGAAGCTGAGGAAAGAAGACTTAGGGAAAAGAAAAGAATTTGAAAGGAATGACTAAATTGTTTGAATTTAAAGGTAAGGAATGAGGACAGATGCATCGATGTTTGTATTAATTTCTTTAAGTAGAGATTATTGGCATAAATAATTAAGACTTAATTTATCAGTCATGATCTTTAATTTCACCGAACTGCTGATAATTTGGCTTGCAGGGGTTTTGGGGTTTTGGGGTTTTGGGGTTTTGGGG